AATTGAATTAAAATCAATCAGATCTCATTGAGAAAATAATACACAATTGATTTGTCAATAGAGAGTATAGGATGGGATAATTATTAATATTAATAATCACTGATGATCGAGTAATTATAATTAATTAATTGTTGTTGATTTATTGGTTGAATAGATTTTTTCAAGTTTTTTTTTAAATTAATTCTTGAAAAGAGAATTCTTTAGATTTTATTGATTATTTTATATTAATAAGTTATTATTTATTGGCAAGTTGGGAATTACAGAAAATGGCGTAAAAGAGAAGTAGAATTCCAGGTACCGAGCGATTTTACTATTTCCGGAAAAACAGTAACGGAATTGGAAAATCCTCTTTGAAAATCCCACCAACACATGGATGATGGGATTCCCCGACGGAGATTATCGATGATCCATGATTATTCAATTGATAATCTATGCGATGTCTTCTAATCTCATTATTCATCAATTGCGAGTACTTCATGCGAGGAAAATATTTAAAAAATATGATTCCCCCGGGACAGCTGTCGAAAAATCAATTAATCTCACGAATTCCTGATTTTAGAAAAAACTCTCAGAGGACTTTTTTGTAAAAAAATTAATTTCCCACAAAAAAGTTCCTCACGACTTCGTCCTGAACTCCATAGATTTCAAGATAAATCGATAATTACGAAAAACATCACCTCAACTGATTTAAAGCAAATTTTACAACTTTAAAAAATCCTGTTATCAAAAAAACTATCGATTTTGAGCAAAAACTTGAAAAATAATTATCCCCGCAGAATTAAATTCCCCACAAAAAAGGTCTTTACAATTTTTTTCTGAAATGACTAGTTTCCGAATTAAACCCATAATAAAACTGAAAAAAAATTTCAATTCGCCTTTCGTCACACCGCCGATGATGTTATCATAAATCTGTAATTCCGTGAATGACTCCATTCACATGGGATGACTTGTAAAAACATATCAATATATATGTGAATATATATATATATACACACAATCTCAACTGGTAGTTATCAACAAATTAAAATCAATTGTGCGCGCATTAATCAGAATGAAAAGGCGTAATGAGCACTCGGTGCAGTTCATACGATCACTGGAGTGTCTGCAAACCCGAGTCGTTTATGACTGATCAGTTGATGACTGAAAGAGGGGGAAGTAGAACATTTGGATCAGATACATATGTACAAGTATATATAAGTAAGGTTTTACCACCGGTAAAACGTTTAGTTGCGACCAATAGGTCCGTTCGGAAGGAGCGGCTCTCGTTGTCCTCTCATTACCAACATGTTCGGGTAATTTATTATTTTTTTCATCAATCTATAAACAATCTATCGTCTATTTATTTAATTACTTCGATTCCCCACATTATCGAGTGCAGTGGAAATTTACACGTACGCAATTAGCGGTACGTGGAGTGGAATTCAATTTTTTTTTTTTTGAAAATTATACGCGAATTCGGAATTTGTTTAAGTGGTGCTGTTTATTTTGGATGTTATTGTTAATAATATTTATTGATGGGATGCGAATTGTATCGTTTTTTGGACTGTCAGAGGGAATTATGGAGTCTGGAGAAAATTATTCTGCAATTCAGGGACGAAATCTTTTTAATTTTACAGTTTCTTCGAATTTTCATAATTTTTTTTTGGGTTTTCTGGAATAATTTAATGGAT